ATATTTATGAGAGCATGTTTTAAAAATATTTTGTGAATACCAAGCTTTTAGTTGTTCTAATTTTACCTATATCAAATCTGGGTTATATTAGTTTTGTAGTATTACTGATTGATGAATACGCTACAGATAGCTCGGATTTGACTTATATGAAATATTGTCATGAGAGCAAATGAAAATATGCACTTAATTCTGAATCGACCTACGGAAAATCTTGATCTACATATATATTATGGCGATTACGATATCCAAAACTATAATTAAATATGTATGCCTTATACTTACTTTGATATCGACCTACATCACATTTTGGCTATATGGCTTCATACCTAATGAACACGATCTATCAAAATTCTTATACTCGAAAGAGCATAGGGTATTCAAAAAATCAATAAACTGCACCCACAGACCTGGCAAGTACTTTAATTATTTATAAATATTAAGGAGCTGGAACCGGACATGTACTGAAAGAATCAGTACATTGTTATTCCGGTTGATGTGGCATTTGTTGTTGTTGTTGTTGTCGCTATTGTACAGCAAATGAAGGTACCAAATTTCTAAGGAACTGCTGCAGGTGCTCTGAGGACAACGGGCGACATTCTGTCATTAAGGCGCTGCCACTCCGTTCACCGTGATGTCTCTTCTCTCTCTCTCTTTTTCTCTCTCTTTTTCTCTCGCTCTGTGTGTGTAAGCGAGTTTCTTCTTTTTGCAGACAATTTGTCTTTCTTTCAATCTTTTTGGCATGCATTACCCTTAATGAACTGCGCTCAGGGTTCGACAAGGTATGGTGTACGCTACCTGCATAATTTCGAGGCGTATGCGAACGCGCGTTGTTCGTTGCATTGAAACGGCGAGCGGGCTTCAAAACCAGGCGGCGCTATTATAAATAATTGCACAAGAAAAATAGGTAAAAGAGCGCAAAGTTTCTTACAATCTCGACGAACAACGGTCCAAGAACAATGGAGAGCCATTCACCTGGCACAGTTCTCACGGCGTTGGCGCTGTGGGTAGGCAAAAACCTGAGCAGAACTACGTTTCGGTTAGGTAGGTGTTTACTTAAAGGAAATGGGCGGCTAACAGAAGAGAGAGAGAGAGAGAGAAAAAAGATGTTGAGAATGAGAGCAAGCGAGAGAGAAAGGCTGATACGTAAGTGCGATAAAACTGAGAGAATTAGGTGTAAATACGAATGGACTAGATAGAAGAACGGATTAAAAGGGCTGCGCTTTAAATATGAGATCAACTGCCTATCACCTCTTATCTACTAGTGTTAAATTGTAAAGAACAAAAGTGAAAGTCTATAATCAAAAGAAATAGAGAAGAAGAAAGAAAGATCTGCTTGAAAGTGAACCTAGATTAGCAAGTGCTGAAAAGGTAGGGGAAATGTACATAGAGAAAAGTTGAAATAGAGCGAAAGCGGGAAGAGAAAACAGGAAAATTAAGTGAAATTTTCAATGGAAAATTTTAAACAGAACTATATTACAGACCTGTAATACTTATAAATATAGGTTGTTATTCATAGTTATTATCTTTATATATCCCATATAATAATTATTAATGCAGTCGACTCTGGATAATTCAAAATGGCAAGAGGATCAGTTTTCTTTTCGATTCACACAGAAATTCAAATTATCGAGAATTATCGAGACCGATTTTTTTTTTCAAGGGTATAGAATTTTTTTCGATCTATCACGATTTTCGATTCACAATTATCCTACATAGAAGCACAGTTCTTATATATAATAGCATATGGCCACTTTTAATTATCATTTTCCATCCTCTCATAAATTATATCTATTTATATGTATATCCTTTTACCATATCCTTATATCTATTTATACGTCCAACAAACTGTTTCTTCAAACATAAAATTGTGTACCACACAAATAGCACATCCCATTCAGCAGCTTTATAGACAGCGAAGAAGAGCCTTACACCTGACTGACTAACTGACTGACTGACACCTCAATGAACTGCAATGCAAATCAGTCAAAGTCAAAGTCAAAAAACCCATTTGCTGGCCAATGCACAAACGTCGAGAGCGATTGATAATCAAAAACCAGCTACGAAATTTTCAAAATACTAAACGAATTTTTCAAAACAAAACAAGTGGAAAGCCGTAAAGCCAACAACAACTGCAAAGTCAAAAACAATGATTGACAGGAAATTTAATTGAAGCATTGAACCTGGCTAACAAATGCAATCGCGTATGATGGGGAATGGGGAATGTGGAGAGGGGGCAAGGCAAGTTACACGTGGCTTATCTACCGAGTTGACAAACTTTTACGTCGTTTGTCAACGCAGCGTTCAATCAACTGAAATTTCTCTCTCTCGACGTCCAGACGTAGTAGTGCAGAGTACAGAGTTATGATGACAAAAGAGCTGGCTAACTGACGTTTACACTACCTGTTAGCTGGGCTAATTTGATAAGGGTATGAAACGAAGGGATGCTCGGGCTGACTAAGCAAGCAGGGCGAGCCACACATATCAAGATAAATGACACGAGCTTTGACCACAGGAGCTCTGTATATGCTCTGCGCGGTGAGTTCAGAGCTGTATACAGCGGTCAATAGCGGCACAAATTTGGACAGTTTGCTTCTTCTCTTGATGTATGAGGTGTAGGGTTACTCAGGCGAAGATATTAATATAATTTTTTAAATATAGCACGTAGCCGCACGAATGAAAATATACTCCAATAAATAAGTATTAATATAAATATATAGACCTCTGAATATATGATTATAGTGTGTTACTATATATATAATATATATTCCATATTAAGTCCAATTCGGACTGTCTCTCTCTTTCTCGCTCTCTCTTTCTCGCTCACTCTCTCTCTCTCTCTCTCTCTCTCTCTCTCTCTCTCTCTCTCTCTCTCTCTCTCTCTATCTCTCTCTTTCTCTCTCTCTCTCTCTCTCTCTCTCTAGCTCTCTCTCTCACACTCTTTCTCTCCCTCTCTCTCTCTCCCTCTCTCTCTCTCTCCCTCTCTCACTCTTTCCCTGTCTCTCTCTCTCTTTATGATCGAGCATCTAAATCATACATCTAACAGCAGAGAGGATTTTTATTTTACACTCAATAATTGATTCTTAGCTCAAGCACTTCTCTAGATTTGAGGTGACCTATATAAGGGCTACACTGTTGCAGGCCTGATTCAGTCGAACCCCGGCTGGTCGGTTGTGCAGTGCAGTGCAGTGTTTTACCTTCTGCTGTTTTCTGGTAAATATTTAATAAGAAAAATAATATGTATTGTATATTGTAATAATATTTGTATAAGTTATACTTATAAATGTAAGGAATTATTTTATTATATTTTATATTTATTTTAGTTATAAGATAATAGTCATTATAAGACAGAAAAGAAGTCATATAATCATTAACTTGTTCACAATAACCATTAAATATTACTGCTCAACAAAATACACAAAGAAAGAGGATCTCTAACATGTTAGACATTTAATTTAATTCCTAAGAATTTATGTAATATTAAAGCTCGTCAAAATCAGAATCCAACCAAACATTTTCTATAGAAACAATATTGTTTACAAATAGAATGAATAAAGAAGATTCTCAATATATAAAAATCTTGTTTAAAAAATGTAAAAATAAAATATCATTTAGAATTATTGAAATGTCAAATCGACCTAATAAACAAAAGCATTAAAACGTTTTATTTAAAATAAAATTTGCTGTCTTATAAATCCTTCTAGTGAAACAAAGAATTTGATAGACAGAACAAAAAACTGTTCCAACTCTTCGTCCAACAAATTCATTGTTGCAATAGAACATATAATTCCCATACTTTCTCGAGTACCCCTAATGTGAATTTCGATGCTGTCGCACTTGACAAGTGAACCCATTTATGCTGGGCCAAGTCGAATGCTCTCAAATAATAGACGCACTCATGAAAGCGCCCACTTGTCAACCGAAATGTTGAAATGCTGCGGCAGCTTTTGTGGCGCATTTAACACGAAGTTACGCTTCAGGCTCTAATAAGGCAAGAATAAGCGTTAGCATTTGCACGCAAAATGTCTTCGCACCTTTGTTTGTACAGCTAAAAGTAGCTGGGAGAGCTGCAGATATGTGTATGTATATATATATACATATATATATTTTCACACTAAACGCCGCTGCGCCATTCGCTTCCTCAAATATGAACACGAAACAGAAAAAAAGCCGCGCTGAATGTGTATTTAAATTGCTCATCAGTTAATTCTAATTTGCATAAACAATTAAAAGCAGGCGAAAAATAAAACATAACAGACACACACACACACACACACACATTCAAGTGAAAAGCAGGCGGTGCTGTGGGGTGTGTAACGTAACTGAAATACGAAAATACTGTGGCAGGCAATCTAGTGACAAATAAGTCGTCGCTGGCACTTGACTCGTTCGCTATTAAATTTTTGCTGTTGTCACTAGCTGTTCTCGTTCCACTTGATTTCTTTATAGAACTCGTTTTTAAGGTGTTTAATAAATACATTTTTTAATTCTTCTTATTATTATTATTATTATTATATTTTTTTTTTGTAGCATTTGACAATTTATTGCAAATTTTTATGAAACTTATATTTAATAGAGTTCTGCTCAAATCCCACTTAAATTTTTTGACTGTCTATTGAGCTATATAAATATATTTTAAGCCTATTGTTCGCGTATTAATTTCAAGTACGCCATAAGCTGGTCAATTAACAGCCAAGATTTTGATTTGATTATTTATTTTGCATATCAATCGAAACTCGTTTCAATTGTTGCAATAAGTAAAGATTTTGAGATTTCTTTTTTTTTTTCTTGTGAATATAATTAACATACATGTATTTATTAAATATTTAAAATGTTTATATCTAATGTATTTTTGCTTAATATACAAATTTACTCCCACTAATATTTTTTCGATTTTTTGTTCTCCTTTTTTCAATTTCCTAGCTTATAGATAAACTCTAGCTTAACAAATATTCGTTAGTTTTACATATTTTAATTAATATTTTCTGTTGCTCTCTTTGCAGGTGAGTGTCAACAATAACTACAAAAATGCCCGACAGCTAGTTTTACAGGCAAGTCTTACATATATATACACACATACACAAAAAAAGGAGCTAGACTGAAAAAATTGAAAACATTTTCCAATTCAATGCGCTAGCTCCGCTGCCAATAGGCCGTCAGCTCTTATCAAGATGCATTCGAACAAGCCAATTTAGCCATGGACAAACACCCCCAATCCCAACTTCAATCCTTGAACTGCGCCAACTGCAGTCAAACTATTTTTTCTCGCTGCATTTGGTGCTGCGAAATGTTTGCCAATTTTGTTTGGGTCTGCGATAAGACAGCAAAAATATGACAGCACGAAATGAATGAATGAATTCGCAATGAGGTTAAAATAAAACTAAAAAACTTATACAAAAAAAAAAAAAAAAGAGAACTGGCGTGCAGTTCTTTGCCCCGCCACCCATTGCCAACAGCCCCTTGGTTCGTGTCTGCTGAAAAGACCAAAGAGAAGCAAAAAAAATAAAAATAAAAATATGAATGCTGTCGCTCGCATATGCTGAGCTGCTGCTGCTGCTGCTGCTGCTACGTGTTCATGTTAAATGTCATAATCAGACGTAGTGACACACACGCACACACACACACTTACATATACAAACACCAACTAAAAGTATCTGTAGATACTTTGTAGCCGCTCTCAACATGTTGCATAAATGTAAACAGCATGCGAAATGACTTTGCCTTCACCATTACAGAAGGGGGCGTGACCTCAGGCAAACTTCACTTACATACTTACTTAGTTGTTGCTAATAGTTATATTATATATATATACTAGGCAAAAGTTTTCAAGTTTTCAGTATTTTTTTTTTTTTTACTTAAGCTGTCGTCAATTGCAGGTCGTAAAACACATTTGAAATAAAAGATACATCTAGCCATAATTTCTGCAGATTTATGCAGTGGCTCACACAGCAGACAGACCCAAAAAAGGCCAGCGACGACAATCGCATCATTTTCAGCAAGCCCGCATGACGCCATCGCATGCGAGTCGAGCCGAGAGCTTGCACAAATATGCAAGGCATTTTATATAAAATACAGAGAAATATATATAATATATATATACATATATTTTTTTATATTTATAATGAACGAAGATTTAATACGCTTATTTTAAAAGAGCTGACTCCATTTTCATTTTTTTTTTTTATTTTATAAAAATTATTTATATTAATTCAATTAGCTTAATGCCTTTTGATCTACTTCTTCATAAGTTATTCAAACGAAACCTTTATATAAGTATTATATAGAAGCTGTAATACACTTCTCTTTCAAGAGTTTGACAACATATATATTTTATTTTATAAATGAGTTTTGAGTTTTTTAAATAAAGGAGTTTTGGGTTCTTTTGACCCATTTGATACCTGATTCATGAAGCTTATCTAATTAACACAAATATATGATATAACTCTTCTAAAATATGCTGATCATATATATATATCTTACTTTATTCTTATACCTTAATAATATACTTAACTTCAACTTCGAGGTACATTCATAAGTTTAATAATTCCTAGCCACATATTTCCTGCCTTAAATTCCACATAATACATTATGCAATCATAATCCCATCAACCTCATTTCATGGGAAAAGTCAACTCAATGATATCATTCACATACATACATATGTATATATTACCCGTTTCAATAGGGTGTCGGCAATACCTACATTGAAGTAGAAATCTCTCTCGAAACAATTTTTGGCACTGCCAATCGAGCGACACTTCCTGGTCCAAGTTCAAGGGCTCTCTGCCATTCTCCGACTCTTTCACCTCTTCTTCCTTTTCGGTCTTCTTTCCATCTGTGGCACATGCATAAATTGTGAGCAGACCAGGCGACGCCTCAATAAGACCCATAGACGACTGCCAAGATGATGTATTTTTTTCGTATTCTTCTTTTTTTTCACTTTTCTGAGAAGGCAAAAGAACAGCAAAAATTCTTGTACCTCTTTTCACCCGTCTCCTTTTTATTTCATTTTAGTTTGAGGCGGCAGGATCTTTGGCCGTGTGAATGTTTCCGCTGAGGCTTCTCGCTCCCTCTCTCTATCTCTCTCTCTCTCTCTATCTCTTTCTCTGTTGGTGTTCACTGTGTTATAGGATGGTTCGCCTTCTGGTTGGGCCGCCCCGCTGAGAGAATGAAATTGTGCGAATGGCAGCAGGCGGGTTTTCTATTGCATTTTAAATGACTTTTGAATGCTCAAATATGAGTGTGTGCGTGTGTGAGTGCGTGAGTGAGTGAGTGTGCTGTTAGCTGCATGTGGCAGCATTTCAACGTTTTTTGCACTCTGACATGCCCAAATATGTGTGCTTGATAACGGTTTTTGAGCGGGTTGAGTGCCGGATTTGATGTATTGCGAGTGCCACTCGAGCGTTGCGTGAAGGTCAATGGGTTGCTTTGTTATTTATACAGCCGGATTATGGCTCTTATGGCTCCGTGGAACAGCAGGAAATAGCTAAAGAAAAAGAAAAAGAGTTCGTCAAATGGAATTGCTCAATTCCTAGTTCAAAATGTGGCTAAAATATATTTCTCTTTGTAGAATTCTAGGTCAACATTTATGATGTTTGGCAAGTTTTCGCAATCTTGTGCGAAGTTAATGAACAAAAGTTGCTTAGAATATAAAAAAAAAATGGACAACATATTTGTTCTTATTAACTATAAAAATTGTAGTGTACTTAAACACTAAATATTGCGCAAAATAAAAAATAAATAAATAAATATGTATAAAAAAAAAAAAAATTAAAAATTAATACTTAATAAACTAAAACTTATTTTTAAAACAAATTGAGTCTAAGATGAATATGGCAAAATATACGTTTATTATTAATTTAAATATTAATTTTATATTAATTTAGATATTAATATTGACTTCATCAGTAGGTTTTTATATGCTTCTATTCTTATGACTGCAGCTGTATTTATTTATAATTATTAGAGTGGAGACAAGTTAGTTAATCTAATTAAGCCATGTCTAGTTGCTAGAATATTTGTAGGCATCCCTGATATATACATACATAACCGAATATTTGTTACGAGCTTTAAAATTAACTTTAAAGTAGCTCATCAAAGGCTTTACTTAATTTTGAGTGTAATTTTTTGACTATTTATCAACTAAAGAAAATATAATCTTCTCTTCAGTCCCGAACAACAAAAATGTCTTTGTATATCACTTAACTTGTTTCTTCAAAGAACTTCCTTAAGCACTGTGTGCCTTTAACCTATTAGCCAAATATTTCAATGATTATAAACAACACACCATTAACAGAGCTTTGCATATTTGTTTTGACTCATTTTTTATGGACATAATCGTCTTACAATCGTAATCGTGTTATGGCACATAGAATAGCTAATCGTAAAATATATTTGTATAAATAAAATGAAGATTCTTCAATTTCATAAACACAAATCAAATTAAGTAATTCCGAAACTCAGTTCCGCATAGATTTCAACCAAAACAATCCAAATAAAAAATCGTATTGTATGCAATATGCCAGACATTCAGTCACTCGACAGCCACGCCCACTGCATAGCCAAATAAAAAAAGCCAAGTCTAGTTTTAGTCTGTTCACTTGATTTATTTTAACTATATAAATATGCCAAAAAAAAAGCCTAGAAAAATCTCTGAAGGTCGCCTTATTAACACATAAACCATAAAAGCCAGTCAAGAAACCGAAAAGAAGCAGAAGAAAATAAAAATCAACATCGACCGTAGGCACATGTTTGGCTAAACACAACAACAACAACAAAGGCAGTGGTAATAGCAACAACAACAGCAACAGCATTAAGAAGAACAACAACTGCCATTGGCTGCATAGAATTGCCCACATGTGTGTCACGTCACGGCAGACGACAACGGCAACAGCTACAGCTACAGCTACAGCTACGGCTACAGATACAGATACTTTTTGTTGCTGTTGCTGTAGATACTTTGCGTGCTCATGTGTAGAGCGGCACAAGCAACACACAATGGACTGGGCTTGTTTTTGCCATATGTGTAAAATGTTTAGGCGGCTGCAGCATGAAAAATACAAATATATATTTTTCGCTCAGAATTTTTGAATAGTCGTCAATGGAAGTTGGTTCGTGTCGGTAGAGTTTTTCGCAGCCGTTGCTAAAAACAAAAAACAAAAAAACACACACACAAATATTTCTACAAGCTATACTTTTTTTCGGTCGTCTGAGCTAAATGTTTGTTTAGCCGCGCATGAGAATCATTAGTGTAACGTGTGCGTGTGTGTGTGTGTGTGTCTAAAGAAATTCTTAAAAAGAAAAGAAATTTATACGACACATTGTGTTGAAGAAAACAAAAGGCATTTAATGCAGCGCCTATAAATTGGTATTTATAGCATAGTAAACACACATCTTTTATAGGCGCGCGTGTCATGATTTTATCAACGGACTTTTACTGGGTGAGTTACCCATATAAAGCACATACAACAGATACTACCATAAACCAGGCAAATATATATGTATATATATATGAGTATATATGCACTTCGTCTATCTATAGATAGTCACATTTTATGACTCTTAGTTGATTTTCAATTACCGTTTGGCAAATATTGAACAAATTGCCAACTTCACACATTGTTTCAACATGACTTGTTTGGAAATTGAATTTCATTCGCCGCTGCACTGGCTATCAGATTTTTCTTTGACTTGACTTTTCCATATAGCGCAATCATAAAATGGTTTTTAATTTGTGCTTGGTTTTTTTTTTTATTATATTTATACTCGCGTTGTTTGCCTTTTGATGTCGGCAACCCAACAACAAGTTATCCACGTATCCAGCCAACCAGTCACTCAGTCATCCATCCATCCATCCATCCATCCAGTCAAACCAACCAGGCAGTCATCCAACCAACGAGCAGTCATAAATACTTGCCGTGCTTTCAAGTGGCAAAAGTAAAGTAAAGTAAAAATAAAAAAAATAATAAAAATAATAAAAATTATAAAATGCGACTCCTACACTACCTTTGAGTTGCAATTTCCCTAGCTGTAGTCGCGCAGTTTCCACAAC